ATCAATAGAAGTGTTCGAGATTGTCGGCGGATACCTGGAGGCGTAGAATTAATTACTTAATTTCAATGCGTGTTTAAAGTCGTATAATTTCTAACGCAATACAGCAATTAAAGTGCTTATACAAATATTATATCGTATAACAAGGTACTTCAATTTTACTAAAACTTTACTTAATCTGTAAGTACAAATGTAACACTTAACGGATTAAAACGCGAAATAATCATGTAGATGATTTATAACCTGCGTGTCATATTTGTACTCAGTTAAAACACCGTCAACACAAGTGTATCAATTCTTTCAAACATATTCTATGGTTTTTTGAACCATTTTCGGACGCAACGGTAGGAAAAGCTTAAAGATGATTATTTTTTTATATTTACCAGTGATTCTTAGCTTCTGTTTGTCGCAGTGTGATGGTATATAGCCTAAAAATGCCTTCCTAGATAAATGTTCTAACCAAGACAAAAATCATTTTTCAATTTGAACCAGTAGTTCCTGAGATTGGCGTGTTCAAACAAATAAAACTCTTCAGCTTCAAATTATTATTAGTATAATGTAGTAGGTACTTAGTAGCTTAATTATGTACAATGACTGTCATTAAAGCACAAATTAAGTAAATTCGATGTGCGTGCGCCGTAATACGTTGTATGGGCAAATCCAATGCGAATATAACTCTAGTGCGTGACAAGTACGTAGACACTTTTAACACATGTCGTCTGTTTCGCTTTGTGATCTTATCGCGGATATTATAAGCGATTATTACTTTTAATACTATCCAAAATGTATAAAAATAACGTTACTATGTCTGGTACGCCTCTGTAGATTGGTTAAACGTGTTGCTTGGAATTGCGTTAAGCGCGAGAGGTTCGAATCCTGGAGAAATAATAGTTCAGGTCAGGGGTTCGGAATCGCACTTTGTGTCTGAAACGCCACCTCTCCAAAGTAGGACAAGCAGATACATATCTGTGTCTATATTGATTTTATTCACATATATGTAATCAAATATTGTCTATAAATTACGCAAGTAGTGTACCTACACACTCAAATAAAACACTTTCAACGGTTTAAAACGCGAAATGTAATAGTTTATTTACGACTACGACCCGACATTTCGAATGTCATGCGGCAAAATTTAAAAGATTTAAAAATAATTTAACTGACATATTTGTCGTTTTAAACCGTCAAAATAGATTTGTTATATAAATGGTTGATCACACCTAGGGCCAGACTAAGCGTTTAATCATCAAGCTAAGAAAGAAATTAAAGTGACGTGAATTTAAAAACACACATTAAAATAAAAACGTAATACAAAGAAATCTAACGTAATTCTAATGACTTTTCTTTGAGGAAGCTTTAACGAGCTTTGAGTAGTTTTTCTATAAAAAACCTAGGACTGTACTCGCATACGTAATCGCTAATTCCCTATAAATATTTATTTGCATAGGCATGTAGTTACTAGTGGATTACTAATACCAGGGACCCAAAAACGGTATCAAATCGACGTTTTTTATGATAGAGGACGTATAACATGTGAACAAAACTCGCTATCAGACTATTTGGGCTTCGGATATTCGGAAATCCACAGAATGAAACCAAAACGCGATTAAACTTCATAGCTTATTCATATGTCGAGTGGTTCCGGAAGGAATTTAGATATTTCTACCAGATTTCCGGACTAATTCTATAACCAGCATGTTATAGAAAAAACATAAAGTAATTTAAAAATGGAAAATAAATTGAAAACAATTTCGACTCGGGCAGGACCTGGCATCGTCAGCGTTCCGTGCTATTGCTCTACCAATTGAGCTACCGCGTCATTATTTTCGATTTTTAAATTATATAGTGCCTTCATGTGCAATAACATGCAAAAAATATTAGAAGCTTTCAAAAACATAAACTGATTAGACCAACTAGCAACTTCTTATATACCCTATACCACCAGCCGTATTCGGACATTTTGTCACTTTGTCACAATATCGGCTTAGTAATTTAGGTGCATAAATCACACATACGCATAATAAAACCCCTGTTTAAGATTTTATTATAACACGGCAGAACGATTAACTAAGCTCTGATTAACAAAATATTGTACACGACAAAACGTCTCCCTCCCGTGTGTACACGCACTCCCGCGCATGTGTGCGTTTCCGTCATTTTCCTGCGCAGTCGCCGATCGAAATGATTGCTCACGCGTTTCGCATCACTCACCCCTGCCCCTGGGATAACGCTCAGGCGATTTACATAGAATATACAAGTAGCTACAATGCTTATTAACGGAGTTCTTTTTCTATCATTGTATCTAATTTCATTTAAATATCTTCATGTGTATTCCAAGAATTCATAGTCATAGATAGTAGATTCGAATTACAATTGATTTTAATATTTTTTAACCGTTAATAGACGATTCGAATCGATTTATTAGTTAAATAAGTTATATTGTATATCGCGTTTTGAACCGGTAAAGTGTTTTCTTTAAACATGTTCTACTCGCGTAAACTACATACAATATTTAATTTAATGTATTAATACAATATTTACGTTCCGGCACTGTAGCAGAATGATCAAATATCCAAAATAAATATAATATATAGTTTCGTGTAAATAAAAAAATGAATAATAGAAATGTGTCTAGCCAGTCCTTAAAAAGGGATAACAGTATATTCCGTACCGTACAGAAAGTAATATGGCGATACTAATAAGAATTATGAATACAAAATAGTTCTGAAAATATGAATAAAACAATGCAACGGACCTATAATAATTTTAAAAACGAATGCACATGGCCTGGGCGTGTCGACTCTCACCCCTATTGTTTATCCCACGATTAAAACCAATTCAAATACTAACTCGCACTCAAAAATTAAGCTCGAGTGGTGCTACGGAACCCTTTGTTTTACAGACAATGCACACTTGGCGCTGCAAAAACTGTGAACTTCCACGACATACTTCGAATGTTGGGTTAAATACTTAGGGCAGAATGTGTTTTTTGTTAGAACCGTCATTTTTAATATACGTCAACATACATACATACACACATACAAGTGACTATCAAGAAAACAAGACATCGCACAAGTTAAGATTTCTAATTTAAAATGGGTTTTGTTCCTTATTAATTATTTAACACACACACAAAACACAAAGATAGACAATGAAATTTTATAACTGTACATTGGGCGGGCTTATAGCTATAAGTAATCTCTTTCAGACAACGTGCAAGACGTAACATTGGCAACGTGCAAGAAGTGTGAACCGTACATATTATTTTATTAACGAGCAAACTTAAACTATGCTAAATAATCTTAAATAATATTAATAAGAAAAAATACCCGACCAATACAATTTGAGAAAGGAAATAAGAGATTTACTAATGATAGTATCTAAAATAAGTTGCAGGCATTAGAAACAAAAAAAATAGCATATCACTCCGAAAAATTGTAAAAAAAATATCGCGTTTATTCGCGTTTTTTATTCAGGTTTGAATAAAAAATAGCCAAAAGCTAAGCACGGATTAAACATGGGGTGTTTGAGTTTGTATAAGTCCTTCAGGCTGCGCCGGCGCAGACGACAGCTGAGCTCTTTTGAGATTTTAGCAATTAACCGACCTATTGTGCCTTTATTAGCGACGTGTATGGTGATTACTATCACCGACTTTCCCCCTTGTCCTTTGTAAGTATATGGGAAATTAATTTGTCATGAGGACAGTTGTTGGCGCTAAAACAAGGGTAGGTCAGAAAATAATATAGAAGACGGCTTAGTTTTTTATGGTAAATTAGTGTATATTTTTTTGTAAAATGGTTTTAAATGAAATCTGGTCTTAAATAAAACACTTATATAAGCTAAATACATTACTTAACTTATTTTCGCATTTATAAATATTTTAAACCGTTAAAAGTGTTTTATTTAAATTAGTAGTAGTACTCGCGTAAACTACAGACACATCGTCTCACCACGCAGAGCACAGAACAGATATAATTCTGTGTCCATTATTTTATTTACAAACGAGACATTAAACAGACCTTGTCGAAATTATTTAATCTATATAGTTGTTTCTCCGAAATTCAAACCTCACTATCTAATGTCTAATCATTGTTCCATAGAGGCGACCAGTATACCAAGAGCGTGAATAAAACGTTACGAATTAAATCAAGCGATCTCGCCAGACAGTACGGCGCTTGACCGTATTATGTTGTCTATATTAGTTCCCGTACAGATAATCTTATCCATATTCATTGCGTTAATAACCTCGTGCTTCGGGACCAAAAAACCGCAGACCTGTAACAATTGAAATGGCCTTCATGCAAATAATCCCACAGCAGTAACCCAAAGCGTTTCGTGCTCGGTGGCAATGGAAAAAGTGGTTCGTAATCACGGCGAGGGCAATATTTACGCATACTTTATCGTCAATCAATAATTAATATCTGGAGGCTGGTGGCTGAGACGCTCCCGAATTTCGCGGAGAACGACGACGAGATCGCGTTCGGGTAATCGAACTGGCAAAAAATGAAAATGAAACAAATGCGAAATACTCCATTACTTGGACACGGGTGCGGTGGAGACGACGTTTTCGTGTAAAATTTTAAAAATATTCACTAAACTTATTTACAGTGGGTTAAGATTTAATATCTGTATACGCGTGTACACTGAAATTAAAAAAAATTACAGTTTAAACCGCGATATTAGTCACTTAATTTTTTTGAACGAAATTATATATTTAAGTTAAGTAATGTACTTCGCGTTTTAAACCGTTTCGTTGTGTTTTATTTAAATATATATTTAATTATTAAAATACCTTTAACGGCTTCAATTGCGAAATATATTAATTTTGTTTTATATTATTCAATGCACTAATTGTATCGTTATAATTTTAACGTGTTATTTGTAAGTTAGTTTTTATAGTTAACAAATAAAACTACATTAAACGACTTAAAACGCGATTTCATTTTGAGTTTATTAAGTTATTTCAAATTATGACACGATGCTTTGAGTGCTTTTCAGAAGCGCTATTTATTAGTTCTTAGGAGATCAGCAAATGCACTCGCCAACTTTTTGCTGGTCGGCTCCACGGCGCCGCTGTTCCTCCTTGCACACATTATGTATGCAGGGCGCGGCCGTGGGCTACGCCAGCTATTTGCTCGTGACCAGAGGGCTAAGCCATTCAAGGCTAAGGCGCTGGGCCAGTTTTTGGCTGTTCCTGACTTGATCCGCCACTCACACCCCTGCACCCGCATGTACCTCACACTTCCAACTTTCATCACGTTCGCAGAAAAGATTGATCGACGATGTGTTTCCTTAAAACTGGAGCACGCTTACTTGTTTCCACCTGACTGGACTTGGTGACAAAACATTCAATGAGCGAAATACTATCTGTAGTTTACGCGAGTAGTACACATTTAAATAAAACACTTTAACGGTTTGAAACGCGATATGTATTAGCTACACTTATTTTAAAAAATTAACTACGGCCCGGCGTTTCAGATGCTTGTAGCAGCCGTGGTCACGGGGAGACTAAAGATGGAGGATTATATTGTATAATTACGTATATTTTCGAATTTCGTTTTCGGTAACTCTAAAATCCACGACCTGAAACCGAAACGCGATTAAACTTCGCGGCTTTTTCATCTGTGGACGGTGGTTAAACGACACGGACAGGACTTAGACCGACATCCTATCGGTATCCAATGACTTGGTAACTCAATTGGTTAGACTTAGAGCAACAGTACGGATGCCAGTTCAAATCCCGCCTGGGTCGTAATTTTTTATGGGGATTTATAATCGATTGATAACTATTTATTTAAATAAAACACTTTAACGGTTTAAAACGCGATAAATTAGTTAAACTGATTTGAGAATGATTTTTAAATTCGGCCCGACGTTTCGGATGCTTTGCAGCAGCAGTCTCCCCGTGACCTCGGCTTTTAAACCCGTTAAAGTGTTTTATTTAGATGTGTACTACTCGCGTAAACTATAAACAGTATTTAACTATTTATTTATTTAACTACACAAACTTAAAAAGAACTGTTAAGTCTAGTTACTAGTTAAGTGACTCGATCTTAGAGAAACTATACAAGATCTTCAGTTCTCCACTGAAACACATCTGTTAAGACGACAATCGAGTAATCCGATATGTATTACTTAAATTAAGACGTGTCGGTACGTAAGGAGGGCTTCGGCTTGCGGTACCCTAATAAGGATAATCTCAGCACCTGAGTGCAATTAATAATGGACGTTGTTTGTTTCCAGCGATTGTTCAAATACGCGATGATACGCGCTCAAATACGACTTAGCAATTCAGTATAGTATTTGACGAGCTCGATGGTTCCTATTCCTACGGGTTCGAACATGTGTCTAACCAATTTGTATTTGTTCTGAAACATGTTGAAAATCTGGATATTAAAAGGGTAATATCGATATTATGTCCCGGTCACGATCGAATTTAATTTATATGGTGCCATCATGTGAAAAATATTTAAGTTTTAAAATGAATAGTTACTCATCAGTTTTCGTAGTATGTTAATTTAATAATTTTAATAAATGTCGTCCTTTAATTTTAATTGTTTCGACGTTAAGTCTTCTTCTACATATACATTTTGAAGGAATCTGTGGTCTACTGGTAGTATGGTCGTTGATACGATCCGCACTGGGTCCCATGTTTTTCTAATGAAGTTTGGAAATCTGGATACAAATCGTATCGTATTCTCGTTTAATATTTCCAAAGCTCGTTCCAATATTTTATATAACAAAGACAAACAAATAAGAGCAGGTCCGGAACTTAATAGATTTTTCATTGGATTAGGTAAGTAATAAGTATAATGTAGGTGACGATTGCGAGATTGATTACGAAACTTTAAATTAAAAATGGAATTGCTTTTGGTTGCGAGTTCTATGCAGGTATAACGAGTATAGATTCGAAAAATTATTCACTTTGTTTTAGGAAGATAACAGAATACCAATTATTTTTAGGTAACTTTTATGTGTTTTATAATAATTGTGTGTTAAAAGACTTAATTAATACCTACCATATAAAATTTCACTGCTTGAATATTGTCTTAAAATAATACCATATTTTTATTATACTATATGGTAGAATCAACCTTATTAATAAAAAAAATACTACTGATGATAAATTTCTGACTATTTACTGTGTTGCTAATTAACACATAATCTCAAAATCGTAAATAAATTGAAAAATTTTCAAGTCGAAAAAAAAAAAAACATTTTTTTTTCAATTCATTATTCAATTTTAAATTATATAGTTTAACTAATATATCGCGTTTTAAACCGTTAAAGTGTTTTATTTAAATGTGTACTACTCGCGTAAACTATAGACAGTATTTATATAATGCTTTCATGTGCAATAACATGTAAAAAATAATAAAGTTATAAAAAATTAAAACATAGATAATTATAATTTGTATCGATGCTGTATTCTTTAGAAATATATTTTTTTAATGAATTTAAATAAAATGGAATCATATTTAATCAAATATATTTATTGATATAGTAAATAATATCTATACGCAGTATTTTCACCTCTATATACAACTACTCTGTATATCAGCCGCGTCCCCCGAACCTCGGCGTAATTGCTGCGCGCGCGCAGATTATCAGAAGCAAGTGCGTTCGATAAGGCAAGCTCACGAATGCGTGTTATTAAATTTATTCCTTTTTCGCCAGAATCTGCATAATGAGGGGGGGTAAAAAGACAGGTAATCGCTAGATTGGAGAAAGGCCTTTGTTTAACGCATGCGTTCTTGAATATTTAAGGGCATCACTATTAATATCGTACCAAGTAATTACTGTCACAGTAACTAATTGGGGTTGTACCCGTCGCTTTCTTTAATCTATCGAGGACATCCTGGGGACTAGAAGTGTTGTTTATTATGGAATAAATCAAACGATAAGATTGTATGGAACATTAGCCAAGTATCCAAAATACTGGAAAGAAACATTAAAGTCTACTATATAATGGTCAAGTGTGAGTCGAATTTCACTCTTATTTATTACTTGATTAGACGATCAAGTCGCATGACATCTGAAAATAGGCTGTCGGCCTATTTTGTTTTTGGATATTTAGAAATCCATAGACTAAAACAGAAAGGTGGATTTACACTTAAATACAGTCTGTCGTCTACGCGAGTAGTAGAAATTTAAATGAAACACTATAGCGGTTTAAAACGCGAAATGTATTACTTAATTGACTAATATAATTCGCATTATTATAAACTTGTTTAACTAATATATTTCGCGTTCTAAACCGTTATTTTTTTTAATGCATTTACACGTACATCTGTGAAAAAATTATGCATTTACTTTTTGAAACATGTTGGATCCCATGGAAATCCAACCCACGACTTAGCAATACGTTTTTAAGCCTATCAAATATATGAGGCTGCAAGAGGCAGAGTGGCCTAATAACAAAAACATGATTTTCAACAAGGAGGTAAATAAAAATGCGCAATAAACTTAGGCGAAAATGAATTTGTACTATCTGTGTAAGAGTTATGTTTACAATTTTCGGTCACAGTGCTCTTGTGGATTAACATTTTTAGACTATGAAAATATAAATAACTCAAGTCATAAAAATTGCAGTTATGCTACTCTGCGTAGATGATCTTCCAATGTTCTGTATCAAAGCGATGATCACCCACGAAGGCGGAATCTTCTCACGTCGCAAATTAATACGAGCTCTTCACTTGGTATTCCTCGCAATTCATAACTCATTAAGGTCATGTATCAAATTGAGTTTCGATTGGGTCCCCTTTTTTTGCAACAAATTTTTGCTTGCCATAAAGATCTGTCCGTTGTGAGGACAATCGATAATTGCTTTTGATACATTTTATGTCTTCGTTCCTCGAATCTGTATAAACTTAGATTCCAATTCATCCACCAGGATCTTGGGTGTGGTGGACGTATAGAAAGATTTTTTGCCGAATTCTTAATGGCTTTTCAAATCTAAGAAGGTATACTTGTATGGCATGTCATTGATCAAATTTATAGAGGGGGTGAACAGTTAGACATCCTAGAAAATGTCTAACAACTAGGGCATTACTTTAACCGCACAACAACGCGCGCGAAATATTTTAGTTATTACGAAACGCCGGGCCGTAATTAAAATGAATTTACTAATATATTTTATGTTTTATATAAATGTGTACATCTCGCGTAGACTACAGACAATATTTCGCTGCCGAATTTATTAATAAGGTCTGTGTTTCTTTTGTATTTTGCGAAGTAAGGAATTTTAACAGCCCAAAAATAAAAAGCTACAGTAGAAGTTTGATTGTAATCTCTTTTACGAATATAGCATCAATTTTGGACCTCATTAACGCTTACTTATATTTGTCTCAGGTGCTCGTGAGAAATTTGCTTTGTAACAGGATCGGGGTGAGGTAAAAACGGCGCCGCGCGTGTCGTCCAGCAAGTAGTTCGTAAATTATGGTTAGTTTTTGGCAGCGCCCGCGCAATGCCGCCGCGCAGCTTTCCATCACCCCCTCGCCCGCCGCCCCGCACACCCGCCACCACCTCACGGTCACAGACCTCGCGTCAATCTCGAATTATCCAGCATGCATTATATTAATCATTTTCCCAAAAAACTCGACCGAGATTCCATCGTAGCCGCGAGCTGTTTAAGAGCAGTTGCGCTTTCGAAATTTAGAATTGTCGATATCGCAATTGCTTTTAAACGGCTCATTGTGACGCCAAAATTAATCTGGCTTTAGCGTCACAGAACTGCGTGCCTGCGCGTACGCCGTGGCACGTTATAATTACCTTTTTAAATAGTTTTTTTTTATCCCCCATATTAAAACGTCAATGTAAATAACTTGTTAGCCGCAATCTCATTTCTGGCCGATTGGATATTACAATAGGGTACGTGATCTGAGAGAGCTAACGGTGTCCGCTTTATCCGCGAGAGGGCCCATTACCCGCGCGTGTCCGACAAGGCTACACACTAAATAGTCGATATCGACACGATCAATTTGTTAATCGAAAACGACCCGATCGTAAATGTTGCAAGGCTAATGATAAAGAACTTTTCAACGTGTATCTCGAATGCAATCAAAGTTACGTGGAATGATCTATCATGTCAAATTATAGCTACCTAATGTGTATAAATGCAAAGATAGATATCGATTATATTTTATTAAACACGCAAAACAAAAACAAGCTATTTTAATTTTCGGGCATTTACATAAACCTACATTTCATTTAAATAATACGTTATTATACAGTAGCTGCGCCCGCGACTTCGCTT